TTGTCTTTTATGACATTAACGTTTTTGGAGTCTACTGGCCAGTTATTTTCGAGAGTATTCCTCATGATGGTTCTCCTTGATTAGCTTCAGGTTATACATCCCAAGCTGGAATACCACATGAGTGACAGTCTATTTTCCTAGGGAATTATATCCTAACGGCACATTAATTTTGATCACCCAGTCCAAAGTGTTCGATTTCTCCATTACATAGTTACTGTTTTTCCCATTACAAGTAACAAGCAGCCTGTGGGCAGTCACTTTGAGACCACACTAATGTCCTGCTCCATCAAACTTGAACTCCAGGACTTAGGGGTGGTTCTTTAACTATTCTTGCCCAAATTGGTCTTTATTTTGAAGATTCAAAATAGGTCAACCATTCTTAATAACCTTGTCCTGAAAATTCAACTTGATTTTGCAAACATTTATATACTTATTTATTTTAAGACTTTGATCTGTACATGTTACATAAAATAATAATGCATTTTAACTCAAAATGTTTTGTAAATCTGTGGGTTTATTTTCAATCCTTTGCTGCCCTCTGCAGGTCTATGAATATAGATCTTTGGAGCAAGGTAAGTACTCCTAATATTGCAAATCATGAGGTGATGTATAAAAAGCTAAGAGCAAAAGTTTTAATAGCTTCATACATTTATGATGTACTATCATAAATTAATGAATTTAGAATCTTGAAATTGGTGGTTTTAAAACAGCATGAAATTTCTTATTGAAGTAGTCCTTGACTTAGTCTTAAATTCTTAATAAGATTTTCAGCTTTTCCAAATGAAAACTGTTAAACTTATTACAGTGACATTTGACCATACAGATTTAATAATTTTCTTAATGTGTATGTATATATGTATGTGTGTATGTTTCTGTATGTAAATGATATAGAGATCAACTTTGTACTGCTCCATTTTTAAGAAATTAACCAGTGTTATGCAGGAAGTATAATTATAGTGAATTGTAAGAAAGATTTTTAGCTTAATAAAATCAGAATGCACGTTATTAACTGGATTCCCAATTTAAGTAATTTTTAAAATGTAAATTTAATTCTATTTCTTGTATTATTCGAACTGCCATTCGAACTGTATAGGCAATTCTAATATATAGTGGGGATATTTATATCTAGAA